TTTCTTTTTCTAACATTAAACTTAGATTATCACCTATTTTCTTATATCTTCTTCCTAGATTAGAAAATATTATCTTTATTTTTAATCCGTCATAGTTTTCATATGTTTTTTCATCTATTGCGTATTCTTCTTTATTCATTTATAAATTGTGTTGTAGTTTATATTCTAAGTTTTCTATTTGTACTTGTAGATATAAAATAGTTTTTCTCTGTGCTATTATAGATTTTTTACAAATTCTTGCAAATATATTACTATTAAGTCTATTTTGCCTATGTCTCAATTCTTGTCTTTTTGCTATATTTATTTCGGTAAATTTTTGTCTATATTCGTTATTCTTGTTATTCATTGTGTCTTTAAGTATTGAATATATTTATATTCTATTTTGGATATATTATCTATTAATTGATCTAATTTGTCGTTATCAGTTTTTGTGATATTGAGTTGTTTATAATCCGGATATAATTTGTTTAATTTTCTTTTTATTTTTCTTAACTTTCTACTAGTATGTTTCTTCCTATGTTTCTTATTATTCCTAGCGTGGGTGAGGAATTAACATTTATCATGTATCATGTATAATTAAGTCCTATCCTATGTCACACCACTAGTAGTGTTATGGACAATAATGCCCATTTATTTTGTTTTTATGAGAAAAACTGTATCTTACCAAAATTGGAGCTATCTTTACTGTTATTATCACATTCAATTTTTCAAAGAAACTTGCCAGTGTGAGGTGATTTGTTATCATAAACTTGGTAAGATCGTCGATATCTAAATATTTAATATTCTTTCCATCTCAATTTATGATTGAACATGAATTTTCATAGATATTCGGACCAACTTACTTGCACAGCCACACTTATACTGTTCCACAAGGTATTTACTACCGGCCCTACTATCATATGTATTGTATAATTATTCCTACATAAGTATTTTATAGTTGGAATTCATACATATATAGTTCTTGTAATTATTTTGATCAAGTAGTCAAATGTCTAACTTTTTATGAAACTTCAGTAACTATATTTACACCTCTAACTCTATAGTATTTTTGTCCAAGTATCGTAAATTTACAAGGTATAATTGTTGGGAACACGGGAATAATAACAATAATAATATTATATTTTTATTTATAAGTGAATATATTTGATGCTTGAGTCGTTCTACGCAGTGTCTTAAAAATATTATTAACTACGTGAAATGGAGGTTCTGTGAGAAGAAAGAGTGATACACTATATGAAATGGAGGCTCTGTGAGAAGAAAGAGTGATACAATATATGAAAAGCCATGTGACAGCCATATCTTCACATGTGAAGGCATGAAGTGCATGCCTAAAATGGATCATACTGGATAAATCCAGACTCACAACATGGTTTATGTCCTCCTTCGTGTAATTATGATTTTTGATAAATACACAGGTTGGAGTCAAGTCTAAATTCCTCCATCATATGATCAAATGACTAATTTCTTAAAAAAACATTTACATGATCTTTAAGACCTTCAAGATTAAAGAGCATTTTGATATATTTCACATATTATCACAAAATTCGAAAGTCTTTTTTATCTTTTTAAATTTCGTGTCAATTCAAAAACAGATAAACAACATGTTATATATTGGCTTTGTCCTACAAAATTGCTTATGCTTGTTTCGTGAACACAAGGAATTGAGTTCACATTTTTGTATTCTATTTAGCTTGACTCTTATCATACAATGTACATACCCTTAAATCAATTCTATATTCTTTTCTTTCACTAGAAAGCAACAAAAGCCTAATTATCTTTCTTGGTGAAACTCTTTAGTTTTATGGAAAAGATCGTTTTCATATTTGACTAATTTTTCTTCTTATCGATGAGAAGTTTTGGATTTTTATAAATAGAAGATTTTTTTTCTTATACATAACATAATAACATTTACGGTGTGATCTTTTAAAGAGTTTTATTTAGGGAGAGATTTTTGTATATGCTTTCTTTTGTTAGTTAGTACTAGAGTAATAATTATTGGTTGAGGTGTGGACCTTTTGAAAGGTCAGCTAATCTTGCAAGTCTTTGATTCCTTCCTTTCCCATTTACAACTTCTCCTTCTTTTACTAATTTGGGCAAGTTCATATTCTTTTCATATTTGCTTCTTCTTTAAAGTCTTCACATTTGAATTAAATTATTATCAATATAGACTACTGCAATCATAGTTAAAGATATCTTCTAGTATAGTCCACTATATCTATGCAAATAGGTCAAAGAATTATGGGTTGAACTGTACATGTGTTTCCCTTTTCCAAGCTTATGGACAAAGAACCATCAATCATCAAGTCAATTGTACATATGGAATCCTTTGAATTAAATTGTTATCTATATATACTAGTCAAATTTAGACTTTTGAGCAACTTAGAATGAAAACTTTATTTTTGATTAATTTTATTTAAAAGTTAGCAAGACAAATATTTGTAATGACCTCAAGCTCATTTTTTTCGATTTTTCAATACTTTCGGCATCTAGAGATTTCCTAAGGAGTTGATACCACTGCAACAAACCCATAAAATTACCAAGTAAGATCCTTATTTCAGTCTAATAACCACATGTCCCAACTTAAGTACCATAGATCCAGTCAAACACATAATCTAAGAGACCTCTTTCTCGTTATTTCTATACACATGCTTCCTTGTGATTTTCTGTTCCGTGTTGTTCCTTTTTGTTAGCTTAGACATATGAAATGTTGCTCTATAGTGATTGCTCCTTTTTATGCTTTTAATTTGTGATTGAAATGTAGAGCTTGACATTTTGACACTTCCTTATCCTTAATTGCCGAAAATTTTGCTTGTCTAATTGTAGTATAGTTCGAGCTTGTGATGGTAGCTCCTGTATAAAATTAAATTAGTTTAGCTTTATACCCGCAAAATTGAATATATGATTGGTTAAAAATCAGCCAATTTATTCCCTTCTCTGTAGACGTGACATGCTTGATTTTCATGACCTTATCCTTCATAACATCTCTAATCCACCTTTTGTTAATAGAAATTAACCATAGGACTTTCCAGATCCCATTAAGAATCGTCTTGATGAGGAATATGTCTCTTCCGTTAAAGAAAGAAAATTATGACGAATGCAGTACAATAATCTTTTTTCTGAATGCCTTAACTATTGATTGCCTCCAATGCATTTCAAACCCTAAAACTTCTAGTTTCAGCTCCATTAAAAATTCTAACACAAAAGCACTGGAGCTTACATCCAAATTGCCTCTACTAGGATCACCAGAGTTACACTTGAAAAACCCCTACATCTAAGCAATTCCATCTCACCACTTTGCTGATAATTAATGGTGTATAAGCTTCACATAACATAAATAGAGCGATATCAGACAACCAAGGATATCTATAAGTAGATAATAAATAGATATTCATATTAGTTTCTCTAATCATCCCATTTCTGGTCTCTTTTTTTTCATGGTTGATTGCATTCCTTCTTTTTCATATTTTTCAAATGATAAACACCGGTATTGCTTTGTAAAATGATTTAAATTTAGCAACAAAATCAAAACCCGCCATTTACTCATTGTTTGTTTCAAATGCTTAAATGGACCATGAATCCCAACTGCTCGCAAACATATTGCATAGGCAAATAGAATCAGCACAAGAAACAAATAAATGATCAAATGTTTCTTGTACATTGTCAGAACAAAAATAACATTCAACAGAGTTTGTAATTCTACTCCTAACAAAACTTCCCCAATAGGTACTCTCTAAAACCAACTTCTCCATTGAAGGACTATGAAACTCTAAAAGGGATTCATTTCTCTCAAATGTTCATGATATCATCCTGCTCATTCTTTCTTTGTCTGATGATGTTTCCAACTGTAAACCTCCCTTTGCTATTAGGCATCCACCAATTAGATTTATCGCTATTTTCTGAAACTTGAAGATATCCCAAGATTAAACGCACCTCATCATGAACTTCCTCAATAAAAACATAAGACATTAGATTTTCATTCCACTTCTCATGCACTAACATCTTCTACAACACCAACATGCTCATGATTGATGGATAGAACATAATGAAGTACACCTAATTGAGTTTAATGGTCAAACCAAGTACTAGAGTGACCACATCTAGGTTCCCATTATATTTTTTGATCCATAAAATCTTTATCTTGTAGCATCATTTTTCAAACTTGAGATCCACCCCCTCACTCAACAAATTGTGGTCAATGTCGCTTGCAATAGTTCCACAAGAAATTGGCCCACGAAGTATTTGCAATTTTAAAATTTCACCATAACTTTGCAAATATTGCTTTAGACATATCAAATAGAGTTCTAAATTCAAGATGTCCATCCTCTTTATATTCCTAGGAAATATAATTTTTTCCCTACCTTCCTCTACAAAGTTCCATAGAATATTTTCAAAAATTCTATAGAATATCATAAATGATACATTTAGGAGACATAATAGTTGAAACCAATAATATGGGCATACTTTGTAATACATTATTAATGAGAACAACTTTTCCCCAAAAGAATAAGAGTTTAACTTTCCACAGCTAAAGTTTATTCTGTATCTTCTTTATTAACCCAGTAAAATGTTTTCTTTCTCTTAGCATGACCAATAGGAAATCCAAGGATCTAAGAAAAATTTGCATTCACAAAACTAGTGATATCCTCTACCTCTTGAACAATACCATGAATAGCTTTGTTGCACATATAGAATAGGATCTTCTCCTTGTTGATCTTTTGCCCTGATTGCTCTTTATAGTCCTTCAAAATCGCCATGATTAGAGATAAAATTTTCTTGTCTACTGCAACAAATAAGATAGTATCATCAACATATTTAAGATAATATAAATTTTCACTCCATTTAGGCTTACCAAAACTGTTAAAATCATTATAAACAACCACATACTATAAATCTTTAGATAAGACTTTAGCAACCAAAGGTAAATAAAGCAGAAGACAAATGATCTCTTAGCCTCCTCGACAAAAATAGCAGGGGATCTCCTTCGTACAATTTATGACAATATGAGGCACACTCGTATCTTCAGCTTGCGAGATCAGTTGCAAAACATGAAAAAGGCCTCCAAGACAGTTGCTACTTACCTACAAGAGATTAGATCAATTGATGATCATCTCAAAGTAGCAGGCTCTCCAGTGGCTGATGATGAACTAGCAGTCAAGATCTTAAGTGGCCAAGGTCATGAGTATCGTGAAATCATTGCCGCTATAAAAATGTGTGACACATCCTTAAGCTTTAAGGAGCTATTTCAAAAACTCACCGACCATGAAATCTTTCTCAAACATCAAGATATTGACAAATCATTCTCCATCATCAAGGCTACAGTTGCACAAAGGACCAACTTTCAGCCCCAACATCAGAAGAATAATCGAAGCTTTCCCAATCAATCTTTGAAACCACAAGCTCCACAACAAGCGTACCCTAGCAATCAACAAAATGGGAGACAACACATGCAAGCGGTGAAATGTCAACTTTGCCAAAAGATCAGTCACATAGCTGATGTGTGTCACTCAAAATCGCACAATCACTTTGAAGCTAAGGTCAACTTTGTGTCGAATCATCACCCAAATGCAAATCATTGGATCCTTGATTCTGGAGCAACCCATCATGTCACAACAGATTCAGATAATCTTGAAGAATATACTAGCAATAAGGAAGTGTCCATGGGTGACGGTAAAACTATTCCCAATACTCACACTGGTTTAACTCAAATTAAGGCTTCTAACACTAATCTCATGCTCTGATACCATAAATAGATTGAGAATCAAAGCAAACTTGAATGATCTTATTCAATTGTAACATCAACTTAAATACAAGTAAGATGTAACTAATTTGACTGATTCTAAGGAACTAATCTAACAACTTAATATATAACTAACTTGACTAAATCTAAGGAACTACTTTAATAACTTAATCTAATCTAGTGGAAAAGATTGAATCAAATGATTTGACCTAAATCTACTCTAACAATCTGGTAAGTATTGATAACAGACTGCTGTGAGTATCTCAACATGCTTCACCCCTCTGGTAGAGTGAAAGAAATCATTAGTTTGACCATTGATAAAAATGGAATTCCAATTGTCCAGATCATATCAATAATCCAATCATCAAAACCTATTTGAGACAACACCTTTACCAAAAATGTCCAATTAACTTCATCTTAAGTCTTAGCCTTATCTTGATTGAGAACAATATTAGCAGGCTTCCCTTTCTTTCTAATATCAGTAATAATCTCTTGTGCAAATAGGAAATTCTCAGTAATATTTCTTTCCTTTACAAATCCTGTCTGGTTATGTGTCATTACCCAGACCATCGTGATTGACACCCACACAAACCATCCGGTGGGAGAACCATTAATACTAATTAACTAACCAAAGAACTACACAACTTAATCAGAACTAAGGCATTTAAAGTTACGGAAGCAGGTTTAAATGCTAAAGGTAAAATAGAGTTCCCATAAACTCCAAAAGTCTAATAAAACAAATGTGGAATAATACCTAGAACCTGAAAGTCAATCTACCAAAACATCTTAAGTTCAACAAGTCTAAGAAAATGGGTACAACCCAATTAAACATAAGAAAACCCTAATGTACTAGTTTAAGTCCAAAATTGGGACATAAACGAAAAGAGAACTCATGGCAGCTCGGAAGAACTGACTCACCCTTGAATTCGATGACGGTCACTGATCTTCTAAACGAGGTCTGTCAGTAGCCACTTGAAGATACCCTATACTCAACAAAGAAAGAGCAAGTGCAGTATCAATACACAACCACAATGTACTGGTAGGATCACACGGCTATCCCACTAAGTGCAACATACTTAAGCCATTACAACATAATAATAACATGCATACACCGAACATATACAATATCAACATCATTTACGAACAACGTACAATTTCACAATTCTTAAGATATACAGTTATGTCAAGTCAATGGTCCTTTCATGGAACCCACACCCAAACTGTTAGTGTGCCGGTACGTGGTACCCGTTCAAAGTTAGTGTGTCGTATCGTGACACCCGTTCCAATGTTTATGACGGTACGTGGCAACCGATACCAGTTAGTGTGTCAGAACGCAACACTCGATACATTCAACAAGCCACAATCACAAGTATATTCTCATAATCATACAATCAAGTCATGATTCATGGCATACAATTATTCAATCATCCTCATTTA